GCCGTGAAGCACGGTGCCGTTGTTGGCGTCACCTGAGCCGATCCAATCCCATAGCCTCGATCCCGACCGTTGCCTCGTTCGTTCTACAAGGGGATTTTGGGCGAAAAATGGAAAGTATAAAAAGCAGTGTCCCCCAAATACTGAAAATTATCAAAAAATCGTCCCCAGACTATGTTTTGACTACAACCCCCTGGAATAAAAAGTCCGGACCGCAGAGGTCGGGGAATAAGCCTTGAGGTTCGGCTCCCGTTAGGCCCCTGGGCCCCGGTACAATGTTGCAGGGGCCGCCATGGTTAAATTTCCGGTCCATCCTCACCCCCTCTAATACTATAATCGCCAAATGGGGTGACGACCAGAAATCCGCATTCCGCCTAATACTTCCTCCAAAAAAGAATTCCGGACGCTCTCAGTGGCGACCGGAAATTCTCAGTGGCGACCGGAAATTGGCGATTTCGCTTGGGATTTCCTCGCAAATAAATTTCCGGTCCCAGTTATGTTGCTTGGAAGTTGCGATTCTGCTTGGCACTTCTTGCCAGTCATGTTTACCTCTCGGGGAGCGACGATGCAAGGGGGCCTGCAGTGCCGATCCGGACTTTTTAATCCAGGGGGTGGTAGTTTTGAATATTTCCCCCTGTAGGGGGACAGACCCGACCTAACGTTACATTATATTGCATCATGCCGTCGGTGTTTTCACGCTGCTAGGCGAGGTGCCTTCAGGCACGTCAAGTCACATGCAAGAGAACTTGTGCCCGATTTGGGGGGTTAGCCCCCCGGTGAAGGCGAGAAATCACGCCCCTCGCAGCTTTCGCTGGAGGTTCACGAGGCAACCTGAGGCCACGGGGTGGGCATTGCCACAGTGCATCCCGCAGACCTGACCAAGCAGAATGCATATCCCAGTCCCCAGACGGTGCGAGTGATGACGGAATCCTTCAGCCTTGGGGTGGTCGGTTGCCGTGCCACCCAAGGGATACGGGCCCAAATCAGGGGGAACATTCGTCAAATCGCGATCTATATCCACCCGCAACGCATCAGCGGGAAAGGCTTGAATTCGGTTTTGAACAGTGCTGCATAGTAGACTTCATTCATGCATGCAGACGCGCCCTGCATCTCTCAACCAGCACAGGCGGTCAGACTCGCTCGTGGCATTGCCCCGCACCCACCGTGCCATTCTCTCGACGCGCCCACTGCTCAAGTCACATAAAACGTCACGCTGTATGGCCAGCAAGCGTCGGAACACTTTGCACCCCCCCTTCCTCCCAGATCCCCTACCCCACGGAGCCACCCCCCTCAGTAATTTCTGCCGCTGCGGGGTGCTGCGCACTTTCCTACCTCCCTCCAAGAGGCCCCAAACTCGCTTCCAGTCGACTGCAGGTGACCACGGAACTTCCCAAGATGTCCCCCACTGGGGCAGGCCCCCAAACCCGAGGAGGCCCCAAAGAGAGCCCCAGGAAGGGCTCCAGAGCGTCAGCGTCGTCGTTCCCGTTCAGGGACGGCGGTGCCGCCCGCACTCTGGATAGGGCAATCATCGCACCCCCCCCCCCTGGACCCGCTGGTGGGGTGGGCACGTGCCGTGCTGTCGACACGAGTGGCGGGGGGGGGGGCGGGAGGAAGAGGGGGAGGACGAGGAGGGGGGGGAGGACGGAGGGGGGCGGGATTGGGCAAGCTCCGTCGGAAGGTTGAATCGCCCCCCCCCCCCCCCTTGAAAAAACACCCCATCCATCCAAAGTAAGGCCTTTGCAAGCAATACGTCACGCTGCATGGCCAGCAGGCATCGGGGCACCCTGTTCGGACGCCGGTCGGCCTGCCATGTGCGTCTGGGGGACCTGCCCCTGCTCTCGGCAGCCCCGTCCGCAAAAACGATCCGCTGCCCTTCCACGACTAGACCTCGACATCAGAGACGAGCAGGTCTTCTTGCTGTGCTTGGGTAGAGCGGCCCCTGGACCAGATCACGCCAAGGGAGCTCCCTCGTCTGCGTTAACAAATCACGATCTGCGGCCACCATGTCTAACATGCTAGAGATCTGCAGGTTGGCGGGAGGGAGGGAGGAGTGCAGCACAAGGCCAGGCCACTGTGGAGTCGCCGGGGGCCGAGGGGCCGTTTGAGCTCGCCTCCCTCCCGTCCTCCTCCCCGTCCCCTCGGGGAGACACCCGTGGTCATGGGAGGGCAAAGGGGGGAGGAGGAGGATTACCAGGATTACCGCCTTGACAGATGTCTATAGTGGGGGAGGAGGAGGAGGAGGATGAGGAGGAGGAGGAGGCGGAGGAGGAGGAGGATGGAGGAGGAGAAGAGGCGGAGGAGGAGGAGAGGAGGGGAGGAAGGAGGAGGAGAGGAAGGGGGAGGAGGAGGAGAGGAGGATGAGGAGGAGGAGGAGGAGGAGGGAGGATGAGGAGAGGGATAGGCGGAGGAGAGGAGGAGGAGGAGGAGGAGGAGGAGGAGGAGGGAGGAGAGGAGGAGGAGGGGAGAGGAGAGGAGGAGGAGGAGGAGGAGCGGAGAGAAGGAGGAGGAGGAGGAGAAGAAAAAAAGGAGTAAAAAAAAGAAAAGAGGGAAGAAGAAAGGAAAAACAAGGGGTAGGCGGAGGAGAGGAGGAGGAGGAGGAGGAGAAGGAGGAGGAGGAGGAGGAGGGGGAGGAGGAGAGGGAGAGGAGGAGGAGGGGGAGGAGGAGGCATGAGGAGGAGGAGGAGGAGGAGGAGAGGAGGAGGAGGATGAGGAGGGAGGATGACAAGGAGATGAGGAGAGGAGGAGGAGAGGCGGCAGATAGGAGGAGGCGGAGGAGGAGGAGGAGAAGGAGGGGGGGGCCTTGCCGAAGCCGTGTAACAGTCCTAAGGCCAGCCGCAAGGCTCGCAGGTCGTGGTGCGCGCCAGCTTCGGAGGACGGCCCCGCGTCGCACGGCTCCATGGTGACCTGGCGGCGGGCGCGCGCCGCCTCGACTCCTCCTCCTCCTCTCCTCCTCCTCCTCCTCCTCCTCCTCCTCCTCCTCTCCTCCCCCTCCTCTCCTCCTCCTCCTCCTCCTCCTCCTCCTCCTCCTCCTCCTCCTCTCTCCTCTCTCTGGCTGCTTCCTACTCCTTCTTAATAAACTCCTCTATCTCCTCTTCTCGGCCTGTCCTCTGCCTCCTCCTCCTCCTCCCTCCTCCTGAGGGCACTCGAAGGCACAGCAGGCTCAGACAGGGAGAAGGCGTGGCAGATGCTGCTCGGTCCTGGGTGATCCCGGCCTCAATCACATGGCTGCAAGGGCCAGGGGCGACCCTCCTCTCTGGCCCCAGAAGCCCCCAGAATCCGACCCAAAACAATAAATAAAACCACCCCAGATTCTCACAAGACCGCCTGCTCCTCCTCCTCCTCCTCCTCCTCCTCCTCCTCCTCCTCCTCTCCATTACCATCTTCCTGGTCGTCCTCCGGACCCTGAGGACCTGCTCGATGCGCATCCGCACTTTTGCGGTGGCCGCTGTGAGCATTTCAATAAAATTAACTCGAAACCAGGGTTTCTCGGAGCGTGGTCCGATGCACAGGATCTTTGGGATCTCTGGAGTGTGGGCTCCTCCTCCTCCTCCTCCTCCTCCTCCTCCTCCTCCTCCTCTCCATTACCATCTTCCTGGTCGTCCTCCGGACCCTGAGGACCTGCTCGATGCGCATCCGCACTTTTGCGGTGGCCGCTGTGAGCATTTCAATAAAATTAACTCGAAACCAGGGTTTCTCGGAGCGTGGTCCGATGCACAGGATCTTTGGGATCTCTGGAGTGTGGGCTCTGCGAGCCTCAAAGCCTTTTCTCGCCTGGTTGCACACAAGCGGGCGCTGTCGCCAAACAGCTCAAGGGCCCTCCGAAGCCCAGACGGCAGCGGAGGCAGCGGGTGAGAGGGAGCGAACGGGAGCAGGCACGGGTAACCAGTGCACATGAGACGTGAAAGAGGGGATTGGGGCAATGATAAACGTGAGCGATATTGCACTCACTATCTTTACTGTTGCCCAAAATCTCCCGAACAAACGTACGAATTAAACTGCTTCCGAAGCTCGGATTCACACGATAGCTTACGCAGCAAACGTACGGGCAGGCTGTCGTGCGGCGGCGAAAACACTAAAAACGTCAATATGGAAAATAAAAGGTCGCGCGGCGGCGAAACTCGGAAAACATCAATATGGAAATGAAATGTGACATCTCAGACGTGTCACCTAGCCTGATGAAGCAAAAAAGGAAACCGTTCACTCACGAGGGTAATCCGCTATCCGTCCGGTGACTCAATTGATTCTTCGCCAGAATCTCTCGTAACTGACTCGGAGGTTTTACCTTGGTCAAATGATCCGCAACTTGTTTATCGGTCGGCACCCAAAACACAGTAGATTTCGGATACTCGTCATCAAATTCTTCGGCAACATGTGCTACCGCAGCAATGTCTATACTCAGACGCCGTTCCAGCGTTGTAGATGGGGTCCCTTCTTTAGTTAGAATGTCATACAAAGACTTGCAATCCGTTGCCACCTTAATCGGCATGAAGAAACTCGGGAGCTTACCTGAAATTCCCGGCTTGAAGTCTCGAAACAGAACCTCGGCAAACAAATGACGTAGGACATAAGCTGTGTCCACACCAGCATCCATTGCCATGGCTTCGGCGGCCAAAGTACTTCGAACTACTCGACGAATACGGTATGAACGCCAATCAAGAAGAGTAGCCACTCCACCCTTGGAAGTCAAACTATCTTGATCTGACAAGAAAACCATGAAACCGGCTTGACTTTGATTCTCCTGAGCGTTAGCCCATGCAGCATCAGTAAATGTAATGAGAACGCTTCTCGTAAAATCCAGCGGCACAACAAATAGTCCAACATCTTGGGGATCTCGCGCCTCGCGTAGGATACGATTAATAGCCATCAAATGGGACATCTTCGGATTCGATCCTTGTCCAAGAGAAGTCGCAGCAGCTAGATCCGGCCTCGTCTGACCAACCAACCACTGACAAGATCCTACACCACTAGCGAAATTGGTCCTCTCCTCGACAGTGAGCTCGGCCTCAGGCGTCGCAGATCTCCATCGCGGCAGTGGTGCCGGCACGCATTGACTGCAAAACTCCTTCTGGTTGATGAAAATCGTACCGTTCTCGTTCTTACTGAGATGCTTGCCACAGTAGGTCAACTTATTGTCCCACCATTTGCCGAAAGTGAACCGCTGGCGGATGGTTTCCAACAGCTTGGAGCCTTCTCGAGCGTCTGCGCCTCCGATGAGGTCGTCCACGTGGATGCCGATAATCATGATAATGCGATGTGACTTGTTGTGGAAACAGAATAGGGCCTTGTCCAGCAATCACTGCTTGCCGCCGACGTGCATGAGAAAGTCACGAAGTTCTCGCCGCCACAGGCGAGGGCTATTAACGAAGCCATAGATGGCACGTCGTACAAGTAGAAGAGCACCGCGTTGAACACCTGGAAGTCCTTCAGAAGGTTGCCGAAGGTAAATCGGCTTGTCGCGCTGGGCCTTAGTCTGATCGGCCTGCAGGAAGGCTGTAGTCAGGTCGCCTCCGAACAAGTTGAAGTCCCAGCTCGAGATCGTCTGCAGCAAGATGTAGAAACCAGCTCTCGTAAAGGTTGGTGCGTCACGTCTGAGAGTCATGATATCGGGGTCGTTGTAGCCGATACCCACGATTCTTGCCTTGGCGTCGATCTCGGAAACTCCACGTCCGGCATTCTTGTCGCGATAGCAGACTCTTGATGGTATAATGCGCTTCTTCTTCTCGGGGTCGCTCTCGATAGACTTGGACGTCTTCAGATCCAAGACCTCCACGGCTGAAAAGCGCTGCCACGATGACCACTCACGGGCTAGAGCTTCTCGGAATAGAGGTAGCTGATCTGCAGGGATCTGCGAGTAGGGGATCTCACGAATGAGCGCCTTCTGGTCCTTCTTGGTCATAGTGAAGCTGCCGTTGTTGTTGAGGTAGACCTCGTAAGCGGGCGACTCGAGAAGGGTATACTGCTCGCGCATGTAGATCGGGATGGCAGAGTTCTGCTCAGTGCCGTTGAAGCAAACGTAGGTCGCACCTGGTGCCTGTGAAGTAGGCGGTGTAGTTGGCGTCTCTGGTTCTGCAAAGCGAGGTCGGCGGGCAGCTCGAGTATCTCCCACAGCGTCTTCGGGTAGTGGCCGAACAGCTGGCAATATGTTGTCCGTCATGTTGTCCCCGGAGCCGCTGGCCTCGGTTAGCTGTAGTGGTTCAGCCGGTGGCTGAGCAGGAGGTGGTAGAAGTCCTCGAACGTGTTCACGTCCTCCTTCATCTCGTAGAGCGGCGGCTAGATCAGACACGATCACATCGTTCGGGTCGATCTCGGCAGGTGGTACCGCACGTTCGTCGTGAAATCGTTCGGGTGGTGCTTGAGTAGCTTTGCGTAGCTCAGTCAAGTCCTCCTCATCAGGTATCCACAATTCGGTACCATGTGCTTCTCGAAGTTGTTCTTTTGAAACCAAGATCGGGTGTCCTGAAGACTGTACCCAAACATTGTTGTCATCGGCACCGCCACTACCACCAGGGCCGACCACAGTAGCCACAATGAACCTTGCTGGGCATTGCTTGCCCTTCTTGTTCTTCGCCTGACGCCAGAAAGCCACTCGATCTCCCGGTGCGTAGTCTCCTCGGCAAGGTCGGTTAACTCGAAGCATCGCGCGCTTGAGAGACTCGGACCTGTCGTACTCGGTGAATGCCATGTCTGCGAGTGCTCGTACTCGGGCTCGTTTAGCAAGCTCGGCATCTGCGGTCATGGCGCTATGTACGACGGCAGAGTTAGCTGGATCGGTGATGCTGTCGGGGATCCTCGGGTCCTTACCGAAAGTCCACTGATATGGTGAAGCACCGCATTGTCGGACACGAGAATTGCGAGACTGGTTGATCGCAGGCGCCATCAGCTTCATGTCCTCAACTCCGGCAAGCTGCATCGTATCAATCACCTTCTTGGCCATGTGCTTCCAGAGTGTGATGTTAGCCTCGACTCGTCCTGATGGCCAGTGAGCTTCAGCTGGGGGCTTCTCGACGTGAACGTCGTGGGCCTCAAGATGTTCAACAAAAGCGGCCTGGAAAGCTCCATCACGATCGCACGCCACATGATCTGGATGACCAGCCCAAGATAACCAAGCCAAATTAAAAATTTCCAGCAACTGAGTAGGATCACGAGTCGGACAATGAACCACCACCATCAGTAAACCTGACATCTCCAAAATTCCCAAGAACTGATGTGTCGTAAGAGCAGAATCAGGTAGGTAAAAGAAATCCAAACCAACTCGAGCATTGAACGAACCCATATATGGAATCTTGGCGGGCCGTGGGCGTCGTGGTTTGACGTTTCGTAAACGTGAACTGCATCGCAGACGTCGGCTGAGATCAATCGCAACCTGGCTCGCGTCGCTCGCGTTCAGGAACCTCGTGAAATCAGCCTGCAGCGGGTGGCTCAAGTTCTGGTGCATCCTAGCAACGATGGGGGCGGCACGCTTCTCCTCCGGCGTGAGCGGAGGTCCGGCGAACCAAATCTCGTCGCCAGCCCGTTGTTGGACAGGCTGAGGCTGAAGTTCGTCTGGCTGTGGTTCGTCGGGTACTGGTACTGGCTGTCGTGATTCGCCTTCGACTGGTGGTCGAGGTGGTGCTGGTACTTCGCCGACTGGAGCACGTCCGATAATGAACAAACCGTAGCGTACTGGGTCTTGAAATCGTTCTCGTGGTGCGTAGGCCTCTGGGACGTACTCATGCTCGACGACGATGCGATTATCTTCGAGTAGAAGAACGGAACATCTATGAGCGTCTGGACCATACTCAGGTTTAAGACGCTTCGCCTTCGGCTGGAAGGCGGCCTGCATGCACAGGATCTGCCAGGGAACCAATTCGGACACCTGCCTCCACATCTCTGAGTCCTGCGCCACCTGAGCTGAGGGGGCGTTCCTTCGACTCATGACATCGACGACCGATTGCATGATGTTCTTCCACTTTATTTCGTCCACGTCGGGAGCCGAATAGCAGACGTGGTGCACAGTAGGGGCTGGAGCGTCGTAGGAGACGGGGTAATAACTGCACAGGTAGATGCCGTGTCCGAACTCCTCGCTCTCGATGACCCTGGTGAGACCTCGGCAGATGGCGTCTGCTAGCTGCCAGGTGTAGACCTGTGAGAGCTTGGTGTTGCCATTAGGTCCACCTCCTTGCACTTCTTCATGTGGATGGCTGTGGTCGCAGTGTCGGTCGAGCTCTTGAATGAGAAGTGGATGCGTACCCAACCAACGAACCAACTTCTTCATGGGGAGTCCCTGGTTGCCGACCATGCCGGACATGCACATATTCGAGGTGCACTCGTAGTTGTCCTGCCTGAGCTTGACGATTGCCTCCTCGCGCCACGAGTCGGCAGTAGCGGGATTCTCAAGCAGGGCGCGATTGCCGTAGTCCTTATGCTTATCGAAGATGTCCTTCGTGAAGGTGATGAAGCACCGCTCCTCATCGCGTAGGTCCTCCAGCACCTCGGGCATCTCCTTGTAGTTGACGTTGCGGTTGAGCAGCGACCAGAGTGTACACGGAAGCTGGATGATGACCAAGCGTGGCCGCCACCTGTCGATCGTATCGAGCACTTCCTTCCTGGCCTTCTGCTTCTTCAAGTCCTGACCGAACAGTTTGTCCACGGGTTGGAGAGCTCGCATGCCCCAGCCGTTGGCGCGGTCGGCGGCATGCAGGGCGATGCCGCACTCGCCCGCGAAGATCCCGTAGATGTCGAAGCCGCGTCGCTGGCGTCGTGGAAAGCGGCTCTTCTGCATTCGTCTCTCATAGACGCGCTTCTCGAGCTGCGAGTTGTTGTAGGCGGACTTGGCCATGCCGTAGCACCTCTTCGCCTGACCCGTCGTTAATTGGCTTCCGCCTGAGGTGGTCGCTCCCAGCTCGAGTCCTGCTCCTCGCTCATCGCCTCCGCGCTTGGTGACCTCCTCCTTCGTAGACTCGATGATCTTCGCGTCGCAGGTGGGCGCCCAGGCCGTGCTGATGGAGGCAAGCGCTGAGCCGACGAGGAAGGCGGCGCGCATGAACTGCTTACCGATGGATTGATGCGATCGATCTTTGCGCCTGGAGTCTCTCGCGTCCCGTGGAGATCCCAAAAGACCACGTCCTTCGTCCTGATCTGGTACTTCTCGCCCTTCCAGACCGTCCCGCAATAGAGGCACTCCTTGAACCTCCCGGCTGGAACTGTGTACTCGTGCTCCCCGTTGGTAGGATGGCAGCGCGTCTTGTTCAGATCTGGATAGCATGACATCCTTGTCCGTGATCCTGTCCTGGTATCGGGAATGAAGCTGTCCACGGTCTTGTCCTGACACAGAATCTGCATCGCTGGAAACTGTCTGCTGAGAAAGCTGTCGATCACTTTGTACCTTTGATTCCTGTCGAACATTCTGATGACCACAAACACTGCCTGAATGAGAATCGCCCATCGTGCCCGCAGGTCTTCGGTAGTGACCTTGGGAGTCCGTGGCATACACGGTCTCTGGATATGGAGAATGAAGATCGTTTGAGGCTGTCCTCTTAGAATGACCTGGCGCCGAAATGGCTCTGGTATCGATCGTGTAGTTTGCTTCGGCTGAGAACGGAACATGTCGATGGATCTCCGTGTCACTGTTTCGTTCCTCATCGTCATTCTCCTGGCGTATTCTCGTAGATCGCCCCGGACCGCCGGGCCCGGGCCCCAATCGTGGTCTCGGAAATACTCATAGAACTTGTCGATCGAATCGGGGACGTTTCGACGTAGCTGAGGTACTGCTCGATCGGGTTCGGGCTTGCGGTGTCGTAGTCATCGCTGCTGTCGTTCGACTCGCTCGGGATAAGGTACGTCGTGGTGTTCTCGGTCGGCTCGATCGGAATGATGAACTTCGCGTTGATCTCGGTTGTCTCGATCGGTGACGTGAGCTGACCGACGATCGCAGAGAGATAGTGAGATGTGATTCGACTCTCGCAGGCTGCACTCGCACACCGAAGCTGTATATGTGTCAATCTCAAAGCCTGCGTCGACTGGAAAACCTGTAACTGGCCAGTCGTCGATCCGAACTGCGAGATGTCCACTCTTAGACATCACCAGCTGTACGTTCGGAAGCTGAGCGACCAGAAAATGGACTCGAGAACCAGCGGGGTCGATCACGCAACCAAGATCTGTCATCAAGTCTCTTCCGCCCAGGAAAGGTAAACGAGCCGTCGCCACGTCATCAATCGTTGAAGCGTGCAAAACCATCGCACGTCCGTGAACTCCGACTGGTATTGACCAACGTTCTGTACTCGTCATCGGCTCGCCAGGGCCGAAGCGATACTGTTCACGTTCGGGTTGAGAGCGTACCTGTAGACCCAGTCGGTCTAGATAGCGTTCTTGAAATAGTCGAAGCCCTCGCAGTCCAGCGACCGTCGTCTGGCACGCAGTGTCGAGCGCCAGAAGGTTGGCGTCGCTGTCGATGTTCACCGTGCTGAAAACGTCCTTCACCATCGTCATCATGTAGATCGAGCGCTCCTTATGGAAGCTCTTCGTATTGAACCTCGTCCTCTGGCCGCCGTTGCCGTACGTCATCATGATGTGTCGTGCGTGATCGGGCTCTTGTTGTGATGTACTTGTCTCGTGAAGTCCGCACTCTCGGACAGCACTCTGACGTCGTGAACCGGCAACCTGAGGCGGCGTCGTACCGAGTGTCTCGTGGATATTGTTGGTCGCCGCTAGGACCTGATGTACATACTCAGATTCACAAACTGCGGGTAATCTGTTCGCACGGTAACCGTGTCTCGTCGAAGCCGAAGATGCGCCTGAAGTCGTTCGTCCATCTTGATCGTGTTCGGGTTGGGCAGGCTGCTGATGAGCAGGTGGCCACCAGGCGTCGGAAGACTGTGGTGCTTCGTTCGCACTCCGTGTAGCCGTCGTGCCAGTTGATGTTCTCTTGGAGGCTGGCGCTCGGCACTGGCGGTCACCTGCCCAATGGCCGATCTCGCCACACGCCGAGCAGTTGGTCACCTTCTTGAGGTCCTCCAACGACATGCCACGTCGTGCCTTGCCTCCGTCATTGCCCTTGCCTTTGCCGGAACGATTCGGCTGGTAGCCCTTGCCGTGCTTACCTTTGCCCTTGCTGCCCTTCGTGTTGTAGTAACCTCGTGCTCTGTTGGCCTGATTGAGACGATCATGAGCCTGCTTGAACGTAACATGAGCAGTGTGAATCTCTCTAGCCAACGCCTCGGGTAGCTGCTCGCCCCAGAAGTCGCCGGAATCTTCCTCCCAGCTGTTGTCGTACGAGTCATCATGTCCAAAATCTGCGTCGGTCACCTGCCAATCCTCATGGTCGTGCTGGTAGTCGGGCTCGGTGACCTCCCTCTCGTACGTATCCTGGTTCGTGACGTGAGCACTATACTGAGGTCTGTACTTGCGATCTCCTTGAAATCTGTTGCGCGGCACCAGCGGCATGGGAAATAGAATAGCCGCTTGCTCCTTCAGGGGCTTCCACTCGAACTTCGAACCTGCGGCCATCAATAATGTGGCCTGTGTCTTGTGGTCCAGCTGCGAACTCTTCATGAACTGCCTAATGATGATTGGATCTGGAATGGCCAAATCTACCGACCTTGCCTGGAACACTGCCTTGTCCACTCGAGTGGCGAGCTGGAGTAAGGTCTCGCCTGGCTTAACGTGCTCCATGTGAAAGAAATCGTCCATTGCGGCGCATATCTTGACCGTCGGGCGTTGATCGGAATATGCCAACCTGTCGAGTAAGAGCTCCACACCGTTTGGAACTGCAAAAACTGTCGGGCTCTCGTCCTCTACATGGTCGAAAGCTTTGTCTCTGAGCGCTGCATACAGTCTTGGTGCCATCTCCTCGGGGCCGATGATGTTCTTCGCAATCAAAACCCAGTTCTCGACCTGCGCCTTGTAGCGTCTGAATATCTTGGGATCCTCCATGTTGCCATCGAACTCTGGAGGCGGCGGTAGGTTACCTCGAGGTCTGGAGCGAGGATCGTCTTGTGGATCACGACCTTTTCCTCGCGTGCCTCCTTTGGCCAAGAACTCTCCATCATCGTCGTCATTGCCCTCATCTGCAGCAGCGCGGCCACCAGCTGGTGGCGTGTTGGGAGGTGTACTCCTCCTCGACATGGCGGCATTTGTCCGTAGGAAAGTTGCTCTGCGCTACCAATTCAATAATATCAACTCGAAACTAGGTTTCTCGGAGCGTGGTCCGATGCACAGGACCTTTGGGATCTCTGGAATGTGGGCTCTGCGAACCTCAATGACTTTTCTCGCCTGGTTGCACACAAGCGGGCGCTGTCGCCAAACAGCTCAAGGGCCCTCCGAAGCCCAGACGGCAGCGGAGGCAGCGGGTGAGAGGGAGAGAACGGGAGCAGGCACGGGTAACCAGTGCACATGAGATGTGAGAGAGGGGATTGGGGCAATGATAAACGTGAGCGATATTGCAGGGGCCACGAAACGCTTCACTGGGTGGGTGAAAATGCGAAATTTGGTGTTTCGGGACGCATGCGGACGGTGGCATTGGGGCCTTCGGTGGAGTTCCCTGCTGGGTGGGTGATAATGCGAAATTGGATGTTTCGGGACGCATGCGGGCGGTGGCACCCGGGGCCTTCGGTGGAGTTCCGTATGTGGCCACGAGACGCTGTACTGGGTGGGTGAACATGTCAAATAGGATGCTTCGGGACACATGCGGACGGTGGCACTGGTGCTTTCGGTGGAGCCCCCTATGGGGCCACGAAGCGCTGTACTGGGTGTGCGGAAATGCAAAATTGGATGGTTCGGGAGGCGTGCGGACGGTGGCATTGGGGCTTTCGATGGCTCCCTACGGGCCACGACACGCTGTAATGGGTGGGTGGAAATGCCAAATTGGATGTTTGGGGACGCATGCGGACGGTAGCACTGGGGCCTTCGGTGGAGCTCCCTATGGGGCCACGAAACGTTGTACTGGGTGGGTGAAACGCATGGAGGGGGGAGGGGGAGGAGGGAGGAAGGAGGGAGGAGAAGGAACGCGGGGACCGTCTCTTCAAAACAAGGACCCAACACCACAGGATGGTTGGGAAACAATAATTCTAAAAACTACTCGAAAAATCGTCCCCATACTGATTTTTAGCTCTTCTTGAACGCTCCTCCTGTAGAGGGACAGGCCCGACTTCAGGCCAGGACGAGGATCAAATCGGGTGCGGATACTTCGAGAATCTCTGAGATCCAGCGGCTCTGGAGGATGTCTCGGGCGCCGCGCCCTCCTCAGAGCAATCCCGGAGCACTCCGAGAGCGCTCCGGAACGCTCTGGAACGGACTTTATCCTCCTCCCAGCCCCGTCCGGTGGGGCACACGTTTGGGCCCCAGTTGCCGGCTCCAGGCCCACGCCGCGCGCAAGCTTCTGCACGAAAGGCGACAGCGGTGCCGCCCGCGCAGCATTCGGCCCCTGCGCAGCTTTCAACCTGTCGAGGAACTCACTGCAAGCCGCGAAGTCCTCGCGCACCTCGTCCGGCACCTTGATGTCTGCCTGCTGCGCGAGCTCATGTGCAAAGGCCAGCTGCTTCTCGGTGGGCGGGCCCGGCCCCCGCCTCGGCCACCGCGCAGCATTCAAACGCTCGATGAACTCTCTGCAAGCCGCGAAGTCCTCGCGCACCTCGTCCGGCACCTTGATGCCTGCCAGCTGCGCGAGCTCCTGGGCAAAGGCCAGCTGCTTCTCGGTGGGCCTCGGCTCCCGCGCAGCATTCAAACGCTCGATGAACTCACTGCAAGCCGCGAAGTCCTCGCGCACCTCGTCCGGCACCTTGATGCCTGCCTGCTGCGCGAGCTCCTGTGCAAAGGCCAGCTGCTTCTCGGTGGGCCTCGGCCACCGCGCAGCTTTCAACCTGTCGAGGAACTCACTGCAAGCCGCGAAGTCCTCGCGCACCTCGTCCGGCACCTTGATGTCTGCCTGCTGCGCGAGCTCATGTGCAAAGGCCAGCTGCTTCTCGGTGGGCGGGCCCGGCCCCCGCCTCGGCCACCGCGCAGCATTCAAACGCTCGATGAACTCTCTGCAAGCCGCGAAGTCCTCGCGCACCTCGTCCGGCACCTTGATGCCTGCCAGCTGCGCGAGCTCCTGGGCAAAGGCCAGCTGCTTCTCGGTGGGCCTCGGCTCCCGCGCAGCATTCAAACGCTCGATGAACTCACGGCAAGCCGCGATGTCCTCGCGCACCTCGTCCGGCACCTTGATGCCTGCCTGCTGCGCGAGCTCATGTGCAAGGGCCAGCTGCTTCTCGGTGGGCGGGCGCGGCCTCCGAACAGCTTCCAAATCGCTGATGAGCTCGCTGCAAGCCATGGCGTTTTCGCGCGCCTTGCCCGGCACCTGGAAGCCGACGTCCTGCGCGAGAGCATGTGCATACGCCAGCTGCTTCTCGGTGGGTGGTGACGGCATCACTGTCCGCGTGTCCACAAACCTGACGAACGGTTTCCAGAGCTCTGGGTTCCGGCCTCAGCATGCGGCGGACCGCATCACATTCCAGACCCCCGACCGCCCGATCTTGTCACAGCCCAGACTCGGGTCGGGCGAAAGGGGGGGATAGCAAAGGGGGGGTTCGAGAATCAGCTCACGTAGCTGATTTTCCCCGGCGCCGGAGGCGGCTAATGTATCGAGGAATGGGCCCCTCGGTGGGGCCGAAACCAGCTGCATGCAGCAAATTTCGTAACTCGGGGATGGACAGACCCCCCTTTAGCAAAACGTGGTTTAGTGAAAACGACCTGAGGCCCAAACCTGGCGGGCGCAAGCCTGGCAAATGACGGCCACGCGCCCTCTCGAGAACCGAAAACGGACAATTCACTAATCGACGTGTTACTGTTGGGGGGTTCTGTCCAGCCCCGAGTTAACCCCCCCTTTCCCAATCCCCCCCCCTTCCGTCCGGCCCGACGGATCACAACGATAAAACCGTGATCTGACCGCAGACGCGACGGCACGGCCGAGCAGGGCCGGTCGTGGGACCGGAGATGGGGGGCGCACACAAGGAGGTACTGCTACCGCTACTTACTTCCCAGGCCTCTCTCTCCCGGGGAGCGTTCTGGCCAGAATCGCGAGGCGAAGCCAGCGGCGGCGCGGGGCCCCCAGGCGGCCCAAGAGCCGAGAACGAGGCAAGGATAGCGGTTTGGTACACGTCGTTCATGTCTAATCGTGCTCATTTCTAATTGTGCTCGTTCCTAGTTGTTTCTGGCCCCCCAGTGGCCAGGAAGAGGCCCAGAATGGAAGAATCAGACATGAAAGGATCTTGGCCACCCAACAAAAATCAAAGACCTTTCGAAGACTTAGAAACGAACACTGTGTACCTCTTCCTCGTCTGAGGAGCGCTCTGGCCAGGAGAGCACGCCAGCGCGCGCTCTCGGCGGCCGCCACGGCTGGGCTCAAACAAAAGAAGCAAACGCGGCACGAGCAGACACTTTTGGCGCTCCGAGCGGGTTCCTCGGAACCTGCGCCAGGCCTCGAGTTCAACAGTGTGTTCCGTTTTCGTCTTGTTTTCGTCATCCCTAGGTCTGTCTTCGCTCCACACGTGCTGCAAGACGAAGTCAGAGCGAAAACGCTCCACGAGATTGCCGCCAAAAAAACACCGTGTAGCTCGAGCCTCGACCTGCGCTGGACACCCCTCCCTGGCGCGCAGCGCGCGCCCGAGGGCGGCGCTCGAGGCTCCGCCCCGGGGGGGCCACCGGCGCGGCTCCGAGCAAGCCGCGCGGAGCGCCCCCGAAGGGCCGTGCTCGTGCCGCCCTGTCCTCCCCGAGGCTCGGCGATCGCCGTCTTGCCCTCTTCGATCGGGGAGACGTGAGACTCGGGTACGGGGGGCTCGGGTTGGCCCGACGGGGCCATCATAGAAATGACGAGGCCCAATCTGAAATTTGACGCGAGCTCCCGCTGCAGACATCCCACGAAAACTGGACCGTCAAAACCCAGGACGCGCTCGTCAAAAAAACGTCGGCAAACCCGAGTTCCGGCTTACCGGGTCTTGCGTTTCCCCGATCCGAGGTCGTGCTCGTGCCCTCTTGTCCTCTTCGGGGATCGGCGATCGCCCCTGGCGCTGCGGGCCCGGCACACGAGGTCAGGAACATCCCCGCCGGCTGGGTGCGCCGAGCCCGCGCGTGCAGGGGCCGGTGGCGCGCCGAAGCGCTCGCCGCGGCGCGCGGGGCCGCCGCGGCGGTCCTGTGGCAGTTTGTGCGGTCACGCCCAGGCTCAGGCCCACCGCCCGAGCTTAGGGGGCCCTGGAAACCACAGGGCCGTTTTTCTTACCGGTTCCGTTCTGCCGTTTTTTTGCCAATTCCGACGCCGTTTTTTGACCGGTGCCGTCGCCGTTGTTTGACTGGTTCTGGCTCCGGTTCCAATCCTGGAGCCGTTTTTTTGCCGTTTCCGGTCGCCGTTTTTTTGCCGCTTCCACTTTCAAGGGTATTTTTTTTTGGAAACGGTGAAAAAACGGTCCTGCCGCTTCCGGGGCCCACAAAGCGCCCGAGCGACTGGGAAGGGGTTCGACGACTTTTCGCCAGTCGACTTGCGGGGATCGGGCCAGGTGAATCCAGGTAGGTGCAGATCAATCGAGGTCAACCCAGGGAGACCTGGGTAGAGATCCAAGTCAATCCAGAGATCTCAGTGGAAAGTTGGAGCAAATCGCGGCCGCTCCAGCGCGAGTCGAGGGACGTCAGAAGTCGTCAAGCCCTTGACGATACTCCGAGTTTCTTTATAAGCGTCGGGGGGGGCGTCACCCCCGCCGACAGCCCCACATCGACCCCCGTCGCGGACAGCCATCGCGCGCCGAAGGCGCTCCGGAGACGAGGTTGACCCCCGTCGGGGGGGTACCCCCCACGCTTATTAAGAAACCCAGAGTAGGTAGGGGTTAAAGGTGGGGTGCGTCCTGGCCCTATGGCTGTGTTTTGGACGCCCGGCATGGGTAGGAACAAAATGGGCACGATGTCCAACATCAAGTGTTGTCCAAAACCAGCAGCGGCCGCTTTTGGGCAGGCAACCTTCTGAATCAAAGAGACAACGTGCGCGGCGGTACCGACAACCAACCTTTTTCAAAATGGGTAAGAACTGATGTCGGTCATTGTCCCCACTTTTTGCGTACTCACTTCGTTCGCGCCAGTGTGTGTGTGTGTGTGTGTTGTGTTGTGTTGTGTTGTGTTGTGTTGTGTTGTGTTGTGTTGTGTTGTGTTGTGTTGTGTTGTGTCGTGTTGTGTTGTGTTGTGTTGTGTTGTGTTGTGTTGTGTTGTGTTGTGTGTTGTGTGTGTTGTGTGTGTGTGGGTGTGTGGGTGGGGGGGGAGGGGGCGTGCGACCTCCAAGAATCCTGCCCTCACCTGTCACAAAAGAGTCATGCTCCCTGGAAGTATGTGCAGTCAAATGTTTGCCAACCCCAAAATCATCGCGCCACTGGCACTGGGGGCCTTTTGGGGCCTCCTGGGGGCCCTCCGGGGCCGAGGGCTCGAAACGTCTCCTCGGGTTCCCCATCTCGGCCCCCTCTTGGGGCTCTCTTTGGACCCTCGGGCCGTCTTGGGCGCCTCTTGGGCGCCTCTTGGGCCGTTTTGGGGCCCTCGTGGAGGTCTCTGGGGCCGTCTTGGGGCCATCTTGGAGGCCTCGTGGGCCGGCTTGGAGCGCGGGGAAGCCGACAAGGCGAGAACGCTGAAATCTTTCAAAAGCCAAGAGGCAAAATCAATGAGTGCTGCCTCTTGGGGCCCCCTTGGGAGGCCTCTTGGGAGGCCTCTAGAGGTGCTCCGCCTTGGGCGTCCTGGAGCGATCTTCTGGCGACGCGGAGCATTCTTGGACCCTCTTGGGGGCCTCTCGGAGCTCTCTTGGCCCGTCTTGGTCCTCTTGAGCCCCGAAAAGTCATGCGACAAGCCGCCGGGAGCCGCGACAAGCCCCAGGAGATCTGTGAAGTTAGGCTCTGGGCCCCTGAACGACCACCCCAGGAGGGAGGATTGCAAAAAAACCCTTGGGTTTTTTTGCAATCCTTGGGTTTTTTTTTGCAATCCTGGGTTTTTTTGCAATCCAGGGTTTTTTTTTGCAATCCTTCGTTCAAGGAGGTTTTTTTTTGCAATCCTTCGGAGGCTCAGAGGATTGGGCAAAGGACCTGAGTTGGCGGAGACCGCGGGGGGGAAGGTGAGAAAGGGCGGGCCTCCTCAGAAGGCTCCGAAGTCCCCCGGCGCTCTCAGAAGTCTTCTGAGCCTTACCCGAAGACACCGAAGACTTCCGAAGACTTCCCTGAGAAGTTCCGCCGCCTACTGAGAAGGCCCTCTCTTTTTCACTTCCCCCCTCGCTCGCCGCCGATTAGGGGAATGGGCAAAGGACCTGAGGACATGCCCACTCCGTGCCCAGCGGCACGGTGACGGATTTCAACTGCGGAAGAAGCAGGCGGCACAACCTCGATGCGACTGAGAGGGCCCGCCCCTTCTGAGAAGGCCTTCTCCTTCTCACTTCCCACCCCTCGCTCGTCGCCGATTAGAGGAGTGGGCAAAGGACCTGCGGACACTCCCACTCGGTGCCCAGCGGCACGGTGGCGGGAGGGGGGGGGAGAGGAGGAGGAGGGGGAGGAGGAGGAGGAGGAGGAGGAGGAGGAGGAGGAGGAGGAGGAGGAGCAGGAGGAGGAGTAGGGGAAGAGGAGGAGGAGGAGGAGGAGGAGGAGGAGGAGGAGGAGGAGGAGGAGGAGGAGGAGGAGGAGGAGGAGGAGGATTGCCCAGCGGCACGGCGGCGGATTTCAACTCCAAGAGAAGCAGGCGGCACAACCTCGGAATCGCCCTCACGCTCACGCAGACCAACACAATAAGGAAGAACGGCGGCACGAACACCACGAGGTAAGTCAACAATGTCGACATCGCCAACATGTTCAGGCACACCCACGCGTACAGGAGGAGAGTCGGCAGGAGCACCCGGACGACGTTCAACACAAACCGGATCACCACCACGGCCATGCATATCAGCACTGTCATGTTGGACTTCGGCACCGTGGGGCTCAGCGCTCTCATGTTCCAAGGCCGCGCTAACGGCGATGTTGCTTAGCGGTGATGTTGGAAACCAACCTGTAGGACATCACGATCCACAGTCTCCTGTATTTCCCAATCTGCAAATGCATCGAACGAAAACGACACAGAGGATTGCAGGCAAGCGCGAGCCACGCGTTCCCACAATACCGGGACCTGCACCGCCGTTACCTACGTCGCCGTTCGCGCATCTACGGGTTTCGCACGTCGGCCCCGTGGGGCTGAGCAACAGCATGCACGGGAACGTCAAGGGCAAACGCAACCGCGCCCCGAGACCGCGCACGAAACTCGGGAACACTCCGGCCAGCAGCCCGCTGACGCCACAGGGAGGTAGCCAGCGGCGTCGCCGAAGCAAGATCCAAGCATAGTCGAGATATGCGAACGTGCTCCACAGTCGAAGTGGGGATCTCTGCAGCCGTCGCCACTGCAGCAAGCAAGGCAATCCCTGCATGCGATGTTCGTCGCAATCCGCGGGCCAACGCCGAGGACCTTCAAGTAATACAAATCGAGTGCCGTGGACGGGCCATGGCAATCCAAGGCCCGAGCAGGCGCATCAGCAGCATCGCCCTGACCAGCAGCCCTCTCACGACGAGCGCCACAGGCACCAGGAGGAGGAAGAGCGCGACAGGAAGCAGCGGCTGCAGGCCCACGCTGGACACATTCCCGGCCCCCCGACGTCATGATTTTTTTCATGACGCGACCCCCAAATTTCCGGCGCCAGGACCGGTGTTTCATCCTGGGTCGTTTTGTGACGGTCGTGAAGGCCCCCAGGAGCCGAAAATAGCGAAAAAAAAGTCCGTCATGCTTTTTTCATGACTCGAGGGGGTCTGGGTTCACAGCCGTCCACCTCACCGCACGCGCTCATGCAGAATGGCTTCGTAAAAAAAAGGCCTCGTTCAGACACCAGTCGTCAGGCACGGCAGAGGACGGTTTCCTCCGGGGCCGTAGGCGACCCAAGGAAGGGGAGGGGTAGGAGGAGGAGGTGGAGGAGGGGGAGGGGAAAGAGGAGATGGAGGAGGAGGAGGAGGACGAGGAGGAGGAGGAGAAGGAGGAGGAGAAGGAGGACGGGTCGCCTAAGCCCTTCAGAAAACCCCTCCACGTCAGGCACGGCAGAGAAGTGCGGAAGCAGAGCCGTGGCACACGTCAGCAACGACGCAGGGGGGAGGGGGGGGGGGCGCACCGCAACCAGACGGCGGTGAGGAAGAAGAAGGCGACGCAGCCCGCGGGGCGCACGGGCACAGCAGCGGCGATGGAGACGACGTGGGGGAAGCACCCACGCAAGGCGGTGAGGAGGGAGAAGACAACGATCCAGCAAAGCTACTACCAGCAAGGACAACGTCCCGCTCAAGCCTGGAGGTCGGTGTGCGTCGGCTCTTTTTGGTGTGCTCAGCTCCGCAGTGAAAGAGCAATGACAAAATGAAGATCGTTTTCGCAACACACTCCTGGTGGCACGACGCTCAGCGAGCAAACGAACTGGGCGACCATCCGCAGCGCGTGTGGGAAGCCAACCGTGCAATCGAAAAGGCATGCGATAGACAATCAGCAGACAAGAGCGAGTCCAGCGTCAGCACACGATTGTCCATCAAGCACGGCATGGCAGCAACACCAAGCGGAACGTCTGGTACACGATGTTTGGCGCGGCCAGCCTGCTTGTTCATGGCCCACATCTGAGCGGTCGGGTCGGCGTCGAAGTGGGGGGTGGCATGGACATGAGCATCTCGCAGGATGTGCGCGTGAACTCCAGAGACAGTCTGCACCAGAGAGCGCGCGGCGAGACCCTTCACGCCATCCCTGGCGCTTGAAGCCAAACGCAACGGCACGGCGAGCTGGCGCATCCCGGAGGGACGAGCCTGCAGATGCATCCGTCCCCGAGCACGGTCACTGCCAGATCTCACTTCTTGGGCAGGGACCGACCGTCCTGGCATTCCTGTAGTCCTACCACGAAATGTTCCCAGAACCCAAAAATGTTCGAATCACAAAAACAATCTTCTCAGAACATGAACCCGATGTGTTGAGCCAAGACAATATCCGCCAACAAAGCTCTAAGAAGGTTCTTAGAACATGGTTTGGTAGGGCTGTAGGCGAGCTGGGACGCTTCGCCACTGCTTGAACTTCTCGGGCGACCTGCAGCGCACCGTGCAGACCGCCACCCCCGCGAAGCAGCCACCGCGCGACCCGGCGGCGGCGCTCACCACCAGCGGGCGGGGAGCGCGGCGGCGCGTGCGGGGCCCCGGCCTGGCATGTGGCCCGAGCCACAGCGGCTTGAGCCAACACGGCTGGAGCCAAAATGGCTACGGAGGAGGAGGAGGAGGAGGAGGAGGAGGAGGAGGAGGAGGAGGAGGAGGAGGAGGAGGAGGAGGACCCCCCCATCCTCCCGTCTCCCCCGTCGTAACTATGGCAGTGGTGGTGGATAACTGGCCCATCGGCAACCCCTGCGGCCGTGCAGTAAAGCTGTGGTTCTCGGCCCCGCCGGCCTGCGCCAGGCCCCACCCGCTCTGCGAGGGCGGCATGGGCCCGTTGGCGGCCACCCAGCCGGCGATGAACCCGCTGCAGCGCTCCTCGCTCCAGCGCACGTCCTCGAGTCTCCAAAGACCATCGGGACGATTTTGGAATGCGGGGAGCCGACACTGACACAGACATAACCTGGCCGAGGTCCGCGCGGATTTCTCGGACCGGCGCCGGGGTCCCCCGGCGGCGCCTCCGGCGCCGCCCCTGGCGCGCTCGGGAGCGTGCTCCGGCACCGCTCTGAGAAATCCGCGCGGCACTCCGAAAGTGTATGTTGATGTATTTGCTTGTTCCCTGGAGGTCGGAGTATCGGTAAGATCGACATGGGAAAGGAACGAATGGGTAAGAAGGCCAACGCCACTTTCATGACCATTTAAGCAGGATGCGCTGTCGGTGTCGCCGCGGACGCTATTACTTTGAGACAGCAGGCCGCCAACCCAAAAGCGGCCGCTGCGTCCAGTCAAAAGCTTGGCGCGGGACGTGCCAATCAAGGCCAGGAACGACGCCTGGGGCCGAAGGAGACAGGCTGGTTCACCCGACCGCGATTCACCCGCTCCGATTCACCCGACCCCCAGTCTGTGTGAACCGCGAGCGGGTGAATTAAGCCGGGAGAGATGAGCACACGGTGAGTTGAGCCAGGTGAGTTAAGAACCGGGTGAGTTGAGCCAGGTAAGTTAGGTACCGCGGATGAGTTAGGGCCAGGTGCGTTAAGCACTGGGTGAGTAGGAACGTGTTGGCACCGGATGAGTCAAGCACCTAGTGAATTAGGCACCGGGTGAGTGAAGAACTGGGTGAATGAGGCACTGGTTGACGTAGGCGCTGGGGGTTAGGCACGGGATGAAGCAGGCATCGGTCAAGTCAGGTATCGGTCGAGTCAGGCACTAGGTGAGTTCGACACAGGGTGAGATATGCATTGGATGAGTTAGGCACTAGGTGAATTAGGCACTGGCTGAGTCAAACGCTGGGTGAATTAGGCACCAGATGAGTTAAGCACCGGGTGAGTAAGGCACCGGGTGAGTCAGGGACTTGGTGAATTAGGCACTGGGCGAATTCAGCATCGGGTGAATTAGGCACTGGGTGAGATAGGCACCGGGTGAGTCAGCCACTGGGTGAAACAGCGGCCAGGTGAGTTAGCGACCGAGTGAGTTAGCAAACGGGTGAGTTAGGCGCCGGGTGAATTAGGCACTGGGTGAGTTAGGCATCGGGGGACTCGAGTTAGGCACCAGGTGAATTTGGCACCGGTTAAGTGTGGCACTGGATGAGTTTGGCACTGGGTGAATTGGGCATTTGGTACTGCGTCTCCTGCCTGAGCCATTGCGGCCGTTCCTCTTCCACCGTGGGCGGCCATGTTTTGCAACAAATCTATGTTTTGTAATGCGTCCTCTGTTTGTGTCCGACTGGGCGTTTCCACCGACTCCCTCCACGATACCTCCAAGACGCTCCCAGGGCTCCGGGACCCTCACAGATCAATCCGGCTCGAAAAGTGACGCAATACGATAGGGTCCAGGGCTCCGGCCGAGGTTTTTGCGATGTTGC